GCACCAATTGATAACGAACACAGTAATAATTATAAAAAGAAAAATAGAAAGGTAATAGAAAAATGGCCAAACCGATAAAACGATCTAACAACTAACAAAGAGCATAATCTTAATCTTTACTACCCCCAATTCATTGTCAATTTTCTTCAAATTTCCACTCGAGCACCAATTAATAACGGATGACAAATCACAGTATAATAATTACATAAAAAAGAAGAAAGGTAAAATAGAACCAACAATTGACAAAGAGCGTGTATCGTGCTGCTATCTTTCTATCGATCGCATTTCCATATCAATACGAGCGATTGACAATGTCGGAAACAGGGGCGCGTCCGTATCGTGAAATCGGCGGGAAATATTCGTTTGTGAATATTTCGTGCCATTCGCGCGCACTGCAGACAAATCGATCGAGCTAATGCCATCGCGTACGAGCGTAGGTATAACGATGGTATCTTTTGTCCTTCGCAAGGGTTAACGAGCAAGGGTGAACAACGTTCCACGCGGAGAATCGCGATTCTCATCGCTTATTCGCCGTATCGCGGTGGTGCTCCTCTCGTTTCCGTCGCCCACCGGAAATGAAAGTCCGCCTCGAGACGAACGTCGCAAAATTCGAATTCGTTCGGCAAAACTTGTCGAACGAAGGCGTAACAATGATAACATGGGATAAAAGTTTAGACGTAAACTGAAGGATAAGGCTTGTCGTTCGACTTTGAACGCAAAAATTAGGGTAGAATAGAAATAGGGGAGGTGTGAATTTCCAGATGGCTGATAAAGGGGGAGAAACGTGCGTGACTGATTGTATCGTTTGATATGTAGAATGAGAAATTTGTTTTTTTAGCTGTGGTTCAGGTTCGGGAGTAAAAGAAATTTTTTTGGAGAAACGTGAATTCTGAGATGAAGATCGATCGCAACTTTTAACAACAGCTAAAACAAATTTGTATTTAATAATTAGATTAAGTTAGGTGTAGGTTTGGTTTAGGAATAGATTTGTGTTTTAATTATGTCTGGGAATAGAAGAAATCTTCTATTTTTTAAAAACGAATTTCTTTGCATTTGCAATTGTGAATTTTCTTTTTATCGGTTTAAATAAAGAGGAGAATATATGGAGAGTGTTCGAAACGAAGAACTGATTGTAATATTTAATAATGAGAATATACTGATAATTGAGAAAAAGAGATAATTGAGAATAAACTTCAGTTAGGTTTAAAAATAAAAGAAATTTCCTATTTTTAGTTTATATTTAATAAGTTTATATTTGATAAGCAGAACAGACTCGTACTTCAACTAGGTTTTAAAAATAAAAATAATATAAATTTCTTTATGAAATTAAACATATGGAATATTTGAGGAATAAATTTGTACTTTGATTAGTTTTAAAAATAGAGGTGGAACTTTTCTATTTCTAAACGAAATGTGAAATTCCTTATCAGATTAGTGAAACAAAAACGATTAGAGGAAATACAGTAGAATATTCAGAGCAAAGCACTGATGACAGTGTATTTTTATAGAAATTCATTTTTCCGTAAAAATAATTTAAAAAATGGTATTTAGACAGAGATTTGCGTCACCTATATTTTTTGCTATTTTTTACACGTGCATTCTACATATATTCTTGTATCCTCTCCAATATATGCACGAAATTTGTACCGTCCGCAATTTAGCTCCAAAATTTTAACAGAGAAAATATAAAATATCTGCTATTTGCCGACTACGTATTCAAATTGCGAATTTGCGCGAACAACCCGAGAAGAGCAGAAATTTCACATTTTCCAGACGATCCGTGTTCCTCGAGAATGCGCGCGAAATTCAAATATCCGGCGAAAGCGTGCAAATATATTCACGAAGCGCAAAGGGGGCGTACACACGTGCATACGTATGCAAAACAGTCAGGTCAGTTTTTTTTTTTTTAAATTACCTGTCGCGTGAATCGTTCCCTGCTGAATCCAATTTTTTCCCTCTCCCAGATTCTCTCTCTCTCTCTCTCTCTCTCTCCCCCCCCCCGTTCGCCTCGAGAAACAGCGCGCGCAAATGTGCATGAAAGCAAATGGCCCCACTTGAATGCAAGGCTTGACTTTGGGTAGCGCGGAGACACTTTAGGCTAATGAGACGGTCGAAAGGTAGAGTGATCTTCGGTCTGATTGCAGACGCTTCAATTTCCGCGGCAGAATCCCACGTTTCTACGGGGATTATCGAGGATTTCGAGCGAGGGTCTCGCTGTTTCGTGCTTTCGGAATAAAAAGACGATCGAAGGTCACGAAGGCTGGCTTGAGAAATGAAATTTGTCTCAAAGGCAAGATCTGTATACGTCAATCTTATTTATAAATCTTTATAAATATATTTTTTTTATAGTTAATTTTATTTTATAGAGCAATTACTTTTTGTGAAAATATATTATTTTAAACATACGAAGTATTGACCTTTGACAAAGCTAGTGTTAAAAAATTTTAAGAATCCTCGGGGACGAATTTTTAATTTCAGTTGTAAGACAAAAAAGATCTGATGCTTTTTCGAGTCAGTATTTAAAAAAAAAAAAAAAACGATTACGAAATTATCAAAATTGACGAAAAATTATTATCTGATGCTTTTCCCAGTCAGTGTTTTGAAAAAAAAAACAGACGATTACGAAATAATCAAAATTGACGAAAAATTATCTGATGCTTTTTCGAGTCAGTATTTAAAAATAAAGAAAACGATTACGAAATAATCAAAATTGACAAAAAATTATTATCTGATACTTTTTCGAGTCAGTATTTTAAAAAAAAGAAAACGATTACGAAATTATTATCTGATACTTTTTCGAGTCAGTATTTTAAAAAAAAGAAAACGATTACGAAATTATTATCTGATGCTTTATCGAGTCAGAATTTAAAAAAAAAATAAAAACGATTACGAAATAATCAAAATTGAACGAAAAATTAATATCTGATACTTTTTCGAGTCAGCATTTAAACAAAAAAAAACGATTACAAAATTATTATCTGATGCTCTTTCGAATCAACATTTAAAAAAGAACAAACAATTACGAAACAATCGAAATTGAAAATGATGAAAAATTATTATCGAGTGCTCGAAGCCGAGCTCGAAGTTCTCGTTTCATTTCGAGTCAGCAGAATTGCAACAAGTAAAAGGCCTCTTATCCTAAGCTTCCCGATGAAAATTCATCGAGCAAAGGGCGGGAAATTTGAGAAACACAACGGCAAGCCAGGAAGCGTGAAACTCGATATGCTGCACAAATATATTTTATTATTAAATGTATGTGAAATTGAAGCACACTTCAGTGGCGAATCCGTGGTTTCTGGCGGATGTATTAGATTCGTGAATACGAAGTACCAAATTAAGCATAAATATTTTACAACGTTGTATATCTACTTCCAT